GGGGTGCAATGTTTTTAGATTTTCTGCTATGTTTCTTTCCGGTCGCGTTGTCACCAGAAATCGAATCCACTGTGGAAGATTTCGGAAGTAATTAGCAATTACGTCTAGTACCTCATTTCTTCCTTGGAATTCGCTTTCATCCAATCCATCTATTACCATCAGATGGGTCAAACCAGGGTCGATCAAGCTGGCTAGAGGTTCCTCAAACAGCACTTCGAACAGATCCTTCACCTCCATGTTGTTAATCTCCACACCCAGATTTCTTGACAACTTTTCCACGAGTGCTTTCTTGTAGTCTGGCAGAGAATCACACAGCTGACTGGCTAAGGACTGTAGCATCACCTTAGGATTCCTCTGGCGCGCCCTGTCATGATGGCAGAAGTGGCTTCCGGCTAGCCTTCCAGCATCTTGCATCTTTTCACACATGACAGCTGAGATTACAGACTTCCCCATCCCGGCATTTCCAGTGATCACCATCACACGATTTGGGGAACTTCTGTCATTTAACCAACTCTCGACTTTGGCAAAGACTGACAAACGGGTTCCCTCTACGTATCTGTCTGCGTGATATCTTACGTTTTTCAGGGTCTCAATCTTTGCGAGTTTCTTGAGGATTTCGTTTTCTCTGTGCTTTTCTCTTTGTCCTTCCAAGTCTTGAGCTGTTTGCTGCAAATCTTTGCGCAAACAGTCAAATCGTTCATCTTGGGTTCCTAATAACTTCTCGTGAGTCTGCTGTATTTCTTCTACTCTAGACTTCGTTTCCTGCAGTGTCTTATGGACTTCGTGCTGGGTATGACGAATTTCCTGAATTGCTTTGCTGTCATCAGTTTGAGTTTCACGAACATTTGTGACAACTTGATGTGTTTTTTTGTCGATCTGAAATACTTCTTGCAGCTTCATATTGCTATCTTGAATTGTCCCACGATCTTCTAGTAGGTTCTGACGAACTTCATCAACAGTTTGCTGTGTTTTGGTCTGGGACTGACGTACTTCATCAACAGTTTGTTGTGTTTTGGTCTGGGACTGACATACTTCATCAACAGTTTGCTGTGTTTTGATCTGGGATTGACGTACTTCATCAACAGTCTGCTGTGTTTTGGTCTCTAACTGAAGTACTTCTTCCAACTTCCTCTTCCTACCCAGAAGTATTCTACGATCTTCTAGTTGAGTCAGATGCACTTCATCAACAGCTTGATGTACTTTGCTCTGATACTGACGTATGTCCTTCAGCTGTGACTTGATGTCCTCCTCACTGTCAGCCCACTCAAACAACACGTCAATAAAGTCTTCCTCTCCACAACGCTCTGCTTTCAATCGATCAATTTCCGCCTGAGGGAAGCCAAGAACAACAAGAACATCACTAATCTCCAGCCAAAGAGCAGAGAAAGTAGGTGTATTAATACCAGTAGTGGTAACATGACCGTACAACTTATTGCGGAAAAACTTGATGCGAGCAAGGTTTGCCTCAACAGAGGTGTCACTAATGGGTGGCTTAGTGTGCCAACCCGAGGGGGGAGGGGCGAGTCCACAAATGTTGGTTAGAAGGAGGAATAACAAAGTAATGTCAAATGTGTTGGAGTCTGGTGTGGCCCCACCAGGTGAGAACAGTAGCTCCCACTGAGGTTTACGTAAAACCCTCCTCCTTAAGAGATTGTTGAGAGTGTGATAGTTTGCATTGAGATCAGCCAACAGACTTGCTGGGGGATGATGACAGTCGAAAATCCTCCTAAGAACCGTTGATCCACCATCAATGAGAAGTCTGCTGAGCTTGGCTCCATTTGTCTTCTCCACAGAGCTAGCCAGGGGTGAAGGGGCAGCAGCCGCCATCGTAATCCAGCGTACAAAAGGTTAGGCCTCCAGTTATACCTGCATGAAGTAAAGAAAACATTTTTTTCTGTACTTAGTTAGTGAATCCAGTTAGTGTTGCTTGTTGTGAGTTTCGCGGTCACTGGAAATACACATTTTCGTTGAGTTTTGATGATATGAAAATTACCTACTATAATGACTATGGAGTGGTTGTGGGTGCCGAGGGTTACTGTATGAGACTTTAGCTTTAGCTGTAGTCCTTTTCACGCATTGCGCTCCTGTAAGCCCTTTTAGATTTTCTAACATTTATTTCTGCCAAAGACGAGGGAGCGTGGAGCAACCAAGCCAAGGCAGTATTTCTAAATGCTGAAGGTAAGGGCGCCTGGGGTAACTGACCCAACGTAGCAGTTTTAATTTGTGTAGGAACAATTCTTAAAAAATGTCAGAACACTGCAATAGTAACCATTATAATAATATTTCTAGACATTCTTGTTTCAGTGTTTTATATTTTAGTGGAATGATTTATGACGTCATCACTTTCCTACTTTGCATAACACAAAAATGTATATTAAATGTCTCTAAAATGAAAGAAGCTATTCCAAAAGGAAAATGCCATTCTTCTTTTTTCTAAAAGCCTTTCAAATAAGCAGTAATTATTAGTTACTTCATAGTCACTTTAATACAACTGACTGATGACATCTGTTTGGCTGTACTGGTGTCAGAGGTTGGCCCCAGTCAATCAGAGCTTTCCAATAAGCCACTTTTTTCAATATATTAAAATTCAGCTTGATGGTGAGGCCTAGAGGACACAAAGAAAAGAAATGAATAAACCTGGTCATTCCTTCCCTTGTTTGTGTCCTCTAAGCTTTGCTGCCATACTGAATTTCAGTATTAATATCAAAATATGGTCTATTAGTAACTGTTGTTCATGGATATGCCATTTTGAAATGTAACATAACAATAAAATCTAATGAAAAAAATTTCACTTCCATGTTCAAATAAACAAATCTTCAACAGGGCTCAAAGCACTCTATGTTAAAATCAAAACGTTAGGGCTGCCAATGGGTGCATCACAAAGTAAAAATTGCTACCCTAATAGTCTTGATTTTCTTCACAACGTTTTTTCCTCACTTATGTATAAAATCAAATCCCCTCGTAATGTTTTGTACCTACCAATACAAGTTTTATCACAATCTACTCCCTTGTGGACAAATAATAGTCCTTCCCATGCATTCACTCAAATGACGTCTGATCCCCTGTTTTGAGGATACTATTGTAACAAGGTAGCACTGGCATGAGAAATAAAGACACACATTCACTTTTCCCACAATATTGAAAGGCAGCATTCCTAACCTGTTAGGTATGCAAGTAGATGTGTAATTATAGATTTGTAGCAGCAGGGAATCACTCAGCCTGGCTAGTTATCACAATTTACAAGTCTTCTCCAATCATTTAAACAGTCCCCTCAATTTGTTTTTCCATCACATTTCTTTATGACATGTGATATATTAGATTCTGTCTGACTAAGTAACCCTGAGTAAAATTCACCATGTACATAAAAATAATTCTATATAATTTATATTTCAAGTAAAGTAATACTAAGCTCTCGTAAACAATCTTATCACTGACCAGCGTTCCTCCAGTTAGTCAATTCTCTCACATGTACAGTCTTTGAAGTTTCATCTCCATTTTCACTGCTGTCAAGATTTAGATTATTTAATAATTTACATAGTTACAACAAGAAGCACTATAAGAAGCTAAAACCAGGGTGGTTAAAGATTCTAAAACAATATTAACTTTAACTGCTTATTCCTTCACAAAAAAGGGATTGTGTGCTTTAACAGTGTGTTAAATTTCACATATAACTTGGGAAACATTTTAAACTCAGAAGTGTTGGTTTGAAAAGAACAATAAATTACTTCCTTGCAAAAATAAAGCATCTTTCTATTCAACTGTTCTTAAAAACAAGGGGAAATATTCAAGTACAGTTTTCTCTTCCATTTACGTATATTTTGTAGAGCCCTTTCTCGCAGGTACATTTCATTTAATTTGTAACTATGATCCAGAAGGTAAAATTGAGATTTCCACGCTTCATACCCTCCCTTCTCTTATTAGTCTTTCACTTTTAATAATGACCCCTCAGGCCTCTCCTCT